TCGATGCACTTCTCATTCCACTGCGCCGCCTTGCACAGCATCCTTCTGACATCGCTGCACACCTCATTCTCTTGGCATTTCCGCGTCTCCTGCTGCGCCTACCATCTGCCGCTGCTCCCACACAGCCCCTTACCTCTTCATGTGCTGCCTTAGCGCGCCGCTTCATCACTGGTGACTGGCACTCTCTTTTCAGCGAAGCCGTAGCTGCAACCACTCCAGCCGCTAGACCTCTGCACATGGCTTCAGCACGTTCTACAGCGCAGCAGGCTCGTCTCAACCGTGCGAAGCGGTTTGCGAAATGCGGGGATTGGTCGCGGTCACTGGCAGCACTGGAAGCTGGCGAGCTAGCTCCCCCATCATCAGAAACAGTTGTTGCCCTCAGCTCCAAGCACCCACCTGCTGCAGCAGAGATTCCTGACTGGGTACACAGCTTCACTCCTGCAGCCGCACCACAGCTCACCGTCCCTGTCTCCATGCCGCTCTACAGTCCGCCCCCCGTGGCACAGCTGCTGGACCTTCTGGGTGGTTCATTGAGCACCTCAGGGACACGTTTCTTTCTCACCAGCAGCATCTCCCTTCTCTCCTCCACGTATTCCAGAACTGGCTGCAGGGTGACCTTCCACCTGCAGTCAGGCCTTTCTACACCGCTTCGAACCTCGTGGCCCTGCAGAAACCGCAAGGTGGTGTACGTCCCATCGCCATTGGGGAAGTGCTACCACGCCTCCTTTCACGCTGCATCACTCTCCTTTTTAAGCAGCAGATGCGAGAGACATTCCTTCCTCACCTTCAATTTGGCGTAGCAGTTCCGGCCGGGATCGAGATTATGTCGCACGCAGTGTGCTCCGCCTTCTCCCTTCATCCAGACTGGGTGGTGCTTCAGCTGGACGTTGCAAACGCGTTCAACTCGTTCAACCGGGTTTCCATGTTTGAGGCACTAAGGCGCTCCCCATTCTCCAGTCTCATTCCCTTCTTCCGCCTATTCTACTTCACCCCTTCACCTCTCCACTACCGCAGCGGCCCCCTTCTCCACACATTCCAGTCAGCTTCTGGTGTTCGTCAAGGCGACCCTTGTGGCCCTTTCCTTTATGCCCTAACACAGCAGCTAGCCATCCAACCAACCCAGCAGCAGTCTCCCTCAATTTTCATTACCTCATACGCAGACGATACCTACTTGGTCGGCCCTCCCTCAGACGTCTTTGCCGCATACACTGACTTTACCTCCCGCCTTCTCTTTCTCGGCCTTACAGTCCAACCCTCTAAGTGCTCTTTATGGGCCCCTATGGACCTGCCTGAACACTGCATTCCGCCCCCGGGTATTTCCATCGCTGCAAACGGTCTCACTGTCGCCGGCGTTCCTACTGGCTCCGACGGTTACATCATCTCTACAGTTCGTGACAAACTTGATTCTTTCACTACCTCCCTCCCTTTACTGCATCAACTGCAGGACCCACAGATTGCCTCACGGATCCTTTCCTTATGCATCACTGCCCGACCTTCTTTCCTCCTCCGAACTGTCGCACCTTTTCCCGAAATCCAAGAGCTACTCTCTTCATGGGACAGCACCATTTTCAGCCACTTCTCTCAGCTCCTGGGCTCTGAGTACTGGAATCCCACCTCTGAACAGTCCACATCGGCCCGCCTCCAAGCCTCGCTCCCTATCCGCTTAGGTGGCTTCGGCATTCGCAGCTCTGCATCCATCGCCCCCCTCAGTTACCTCTGTAGCTGGGCGCAGACAGTTTCGACCTTATCCACCCACTTCATCACTGATGGTGCTCCTCTTTTCCGCCCCTACGTCACCACGGACTCCATTAACCTCCTCGACCCTTCAATCTCATCCACCATGACCATGCTTCCCAAAGACATTCGTGATCGCTTCCCATCATGGCCTGTGCTTCAATCGGGCTACCCTCCTAAACTCTTTACTAATCTCTCCCAACACCTCGAAGCCGATTTACTCCCTCTCACAGTAACGTCCCCGCTTCGCCTTGCTCGTCTAACCTCTTTGCAGGGCCCGCATGCAGGTGACTGGCTCACAGTGGCTCCATCCTCCCCGCACATGCAGCTTTCAGAGACTGAATGGCGCATTGCAGCAGCTATCCGCTTAGGCCTTCCTCTCCCTCACCTTTCATCTTCGCTCACCTGCACCTGCAACTCCCCGTTCACCGATCCTTCCATCCATTCTCATGTCCTTCGCTGCCCTAGCAACAACGAGCCTACTAAGGTGCACGACGCAATCAAACGAGAAGTTCATCGCATTGTCTTGGAGCTTGGGTTCTCTGCGCAGATGGAAGACCAGCATCTCCTGCCTGGCCGCCGCACAGACATCACGTGCCGCGACATTAGCTCTGGTACCACCTGGGCCTTGGATGTTTCTGTTACTGATCCACAAAAGGGGTTTCCGCACTCCAACGCAGCTACGGTGATTGTTTCAGCAGCAGCCACTCGTGAAAGTGAGAAGACCACCCACTATGCTGCAGCACTTCATGACCGTCCAGACATCAAACTGTTTCCCCTTGTCATCGAAACCTTCGGTTGCTTCGGCTCTTCGTTCAACAACTTCCTTCGTCAATGCAGCCGCAAAGGGGCGTCCCAACTCCGCGACTTGAGTGGTGCTACAGATTCTCTTCCCCTGCTGTTTGAGACCAACTTCTACAAACGGATTTCTCTGGTCCACCAACGTGAGCAGGCTCGCACTGTTTGTCGTCGTGCACAAATTCGTTTTACCGAGGGCGTCAACCACGCACCACGCGAGGTGACTTCTCTTTCTGCAGCTGACTTTGCCTACTTTGGAGAGGACCACTGAGACATCACAGAGGCCTATTTGTAGGCCTCACAATAGGATTAGCCTGCATGTCTTTCCATGCACTAGGTGTCTGGATTTGCCTTGTATACATTGTACATTTACTATAGTGTCAATAAAGAGCTAGGCTCAGAACCGGATCTTCACCTCTCGACAGCACGAATGTGTTCCCTACCTTCCGCTCCCCCCGTCAATCCATCTTAGCCCAATCCCGATGCCCTCAAGGTCCCTGTTTGCTAAGGCAAACTTCGCTGGTCCTCGGTGCGCGGGGCGCTACAACATGATCCCTTCCGCCTCTCACTCACCGAAACGTCGCGCACGTGTCCCCTCGTCGCACTCGTTTCCCCTCGTCGCACTCGTTTCCCCTCTTTGCACGCGTTTTCCCTCGTCGCACTCGTTTCCCCTCGTCGCACTCGTTTCCCTCGTCGCACTCGTTTTCCCTCGTCGCACTCGTTTCCCCTCGTCGCACTCGTTGAGGTCGTCGCACTCGTTTTCCCTCGTCGCACTCGTTTCCCCTCGTCGCACTCGATTCCCCTCCATCGGAAAAATCCCTGGTTAGCCAAACACAGGCCCGAGGGATTTGCCCGTGAGTCCTCTGAGGGGGGGGGGGCAAATGGAAACCATAGGTTTCCTGCTGGATGTGTCGGTCGAACTAGAAATTATCGAAACTGACGACTGATCGTTTATTTTCTGTCTCAATCTACCATTCATTGGGCTGACTGGAATGGCCGAGGTTCGACAGTTTAGGGTCAGGTCCGTGTGAGCTGGTTTTGATGAGACACAGCCGTGAATTGTGCCACGTACTCTCCCTTCGTAACTTTGCCATTGTTTGCCCATTCAGGGCTGGTTTGTTTTGAAGTCGCGGGTGTCGCGATCTGGTTACAGGTTTCACATTTCGTTGCATGTGGCATTTGCCTTGTCCTGTAGTGTTGGGACATCGTGTTTTTTTTTTCTGACTCCTTGCTTCTCAGTTTTCACTTTAACCGATATACGTTGGCTCGTTTACATTGTGTGCACGTTTTCTGTTTTACATGTGTTTTATGTTATCTGCAGTATGCAGGTAATTTGTTTTAGAATTCCAGACACTACGCACTGGTTTTCGACATTCGTCCTACTGTTGATAGGGTACTGTTTTGTAATTGGTACATAGCGGTTATTGTAAGTTGGATTTCCGATTTAATCAATGATTTGCTCAGATACTAGCCTTAGTGTTATTAGTGAGTGTATGTAAATTTATACACATGATGACGGATAACTTGCGTAATTTACATTTGCATGGTCGCAAAATATTGGTGTGCTTGTGTTGTTTTAGTATTGTATGTTATAGGTTTATGGATTTAACTATTATGATTGTTCTTGTATTGTGCATACAGTATGTTACTATGCAACGCGTTCGTTTGTTTTGTCGTACACGACCAGGTGGAATACGTTGGTTGACACGTGTGTTTCCCGCCACAATTTTGTCAATGCTGTTTGGTGACGCTGCGCGATTTTTCGCGAGTCGCGCTCGTTCACATTTGGGTGATTTGGCGCGTTCTCACTCGTTCACCCGCGTTTGACCAGCCGTGTCACTTTGTAACATTCAGGTTTGGTCGCGGGTCAGTTTGAAGTGCTCACGCTTTGGTTTCGAGTGGGTAGCCCGTATGCCTTAAGTGATGTTTAGCTGCCTAACCCGGATGCATAGTATTAGTCCTGGCCATATCGCATTTCCCTGCGAACTGATAACACACCCTGCCATTGTATTAAGGTGGATGTTGTTTAAAGGGCACCTTTTGTCAGTTCTTAGCAAAGGTGGCGTTTCACTTTGTACCCCTGTTTTTAAACGTTGTGTTGGGTATCAGCCCGTCGGGTTGAGGGCAGAGTTTTAGGCACCACAGACTCCCACGCTTTGGCCCCAAACCTATCGACAGGCGTGCCTAGGGGGCAAGGAACTCGGTCATCAGTTCTGCTCGAAGTCTTGTGTCTGGAATTCCGAATTCCAAATTCGTCCATGTTTCCAAACTCGACACGATTCCAAGCCCCAAAAATCCGTGCATTCCGCCTCCGCAACAATTTCTTGCGGTTAGCTGCGATTTAAGTACTGAAGTTGGGGTTAGGCTACACTTGCGGCCACTGGTGGCGGCTAATCCGCGAGCTTTTTTCCAGCCGGTGGTTCATTCACCTTGAAGTGGCGATCTCAGAAGGTGAGTTATTTAGCTTCATGGAGCCCCCGCCGCCCACTCCTTCTCCGTCGCTCTCGCTTTCCCCCTTCACACTCCCCTTAGCCCATCGCCCTCGCTTTCCCCTCGTCGTCATTGCTTCCCCCGTCGGTCTCGATTTCCCCCGCCGCACACTCCTTCCCCCGTCTCTCTCGCTTTCCCCCCCTGCCCACTCCTTCTCCCGTCGTTCTCGTTTGCCCCCGTCACCCACTCCTTCCCCCGTCGCACTCGCTTTCCCACATCGCCTCTGGCTTTCCCCCGTCGTCCTTGCTTCCCCCATCGCCCTCGCTTTCCCCCGTCGTCATTGCTTTCCCCCGTTGCTCTCACTTTCCCCCGCCGCCCACTCCTTTCCCCGTCTCTATCGCTTTCCCCTGCCACCCACTCCTTCTCCCGTCGTTCTCGTTTGCCCCCGTCACCCACTCCGTCCCCCGTCGCTTTCGCTTTCCCCCGCCGCCCACTCCTTCCCCCGTCGCTCTCGCTTTCCCCTGCCGCCCACTCCTTCCCCCGTCGCCTCTGGCTTTCCCCCGTCGTCCATGCTTCCCCCATCGCCCTCGCTTTCCCCTCATCGTCATTGCTTCCCCCGTCGGTCTCGCTTTCCCCCGCCGCACACTCCTTCCCCCGTCTCTCTTGCTTTCCCCCCCTGCCCACTCCTTCTCCTGTCGTTCTCGTTTGCCCCCGTCACCCACTCCTTCCCCCCTCGCACTCGCTTTCCCACATCGCCTCTGGCTTTCCCCCGTCGTCCTTGCTTCCCCCATCGCCCTCGCTTTCCCCCGTCGTCATTGCTTTCCCCCGTTGCTCTCACTTTCCCCCGCCGCCCACTCCTTTCCCCGTCTCTATCGCTTTCCCCCGCCACCCACTCCTTCTCCCGTCGTTCTCGTTTGCCCCCGTCGCCCTTTCTCTACCCCGTCGCCCACACTTGTCACCGTCCCCCACGCTTTCCCGAGTCGCACACGCGTTCCCCGGCGCCCACACTTGTCACCGTCCCCCGTCGCTCTTGCTTTCCTCTGTCATCCTCCCTCCCTTTCCTCTGTCGTCATTACTTCCCCCATCGCCCTCGTTTTCCCCCGCCGCCCACTCCTTCTCCCGTTGCTCTCGCTTTCCCCCGCAGCCACTCCATCTCCCGTCGCTCTCTCTTGCCTCCGACACCCACTCCTTCCCCCGTCGCCGTCGCTTTCCCCCGTCTCCCTCCCTTTCCCCCGTCGTCCTTACCCTCCCTGTCGCTCTCGCACACTCCTCGTCGCTCTCGCTTTCCCCCGTCGCCTTTGTTACACACCGTTGTCATTGCTTTCCCCCGTCGCCAGCTCCTTCCCCTCTCGCCCTCCCCTTCCGCCCCCGCCTTTTCTTGACCCCCGCCTTTGGCTCCCCCGCCTATTGATAAGTTGCTCCTCATCTTGAACCTTGGTTCAAAGTTCAATGACGACGTTGTCGTTTTCAGAAATGCGCGAGACGTTGAAAAATACGTCGATGAACGCATCCCAGATCCTCACCGTAACTGGAGACGAGGTCTTGTGCGCGTACAGTCAAAAGCTTCGTTAGAGTTCTTTTTTTGTGATGGTGTCATTGGGATGATTGACCTTTTGACACATCCAAAGAATGCGGACAAACTCGTTCTTAAACCCACGTCGCGCATCCCCGGTGAGACACATGTGTACTCATCACCCGAATCCGGGGATTGGTGGTTTACTTTGCACAATGAGGTCAAAAAAGTGGACCCGGACGGGGTCGTGGTTGCTCTGATATTGTCGAGCGACGAGACACATATGGACCAAAGAGGCAAGGCCAAGGGTCATCCAGTGTACCTGACACTGGGAAACATCGACAAGCATGACCGTTGGAAGCCATGGGGCCATGTACTGCTTGCTTTGCTTCCTGAATTCACGCCTCAGTACGATTCGCTAGACAAGTTGATTATCTTCCAACACATCCTTTCAATGGTCATGGAACCATTGCGAAAGGCCTCACACACCGGAGTGAGGGTCCAGGACCCTACTGGTGCCACGTACAACGCGTGGCCTGGTTTGTACGCATACGCATGTGACTATCCTGAGTCGTGCAATGTGACTTGCACAAAATCGGGGGCCACAGGCTTCCCATGCTCGTTGTGCACAGTCCCTGTTGCTGAGACCAACAAACTACTGCCTCGCATTGTCCCTCGTACTCCACACTTGCAAAAGGGCATTACCTCGCTTTTGCAAATGCGGTTGTTTCCGAAAGGCGTGTCAAGCATGTCAACACATCCGGTGAATTGTTTTCTGTGGGGTTGGCGTTGGTCATCTATTCCTATTTTGAACCCTTATGTGAGCGTCATGCCTGATATCATGCACCAGGCAGATTTGGGAATTCTTGTGCACATCATTGACTTTTTCCGTACACAACTCACCATCGCTCAAAAAAAAGAGGCCGACGAGAGAATAGCCTACTTGCGGGAGCACAACCGCAACCCGTTCATGCGCCTGCCTGGGGGCGAGTATTTCTCCTCAGGCGCGAGCTATCAGGCGTATGAGCATAGGAGTGTCATGCAAGTCCTTCCTTTTCTAGTGCGTGGCTTTGAGTCGACTATCCCTCAGGCGCAGATGGACGCGATTGCAACTTACATTGACTGGTACACCTACTGTGCCCGCGCCAGTGAGCATACGACAGAGACGCTGCGTGATTTGAAGCACAAGGCCGAAAGGTATGTCCATGTGTTACTATACTATGCAGCGCGTGCATGCAATATGTTGTTGCACATGTAAGACTACCACTATGGGATTCTAGCCAATGCCTTTCTGCTCAAACATATCTTCCCCCACCATCACCATTGTATGGCAGGTTGATTTTCACCCTCAAATCAGCCTTTCCTCTACAGACGTCAAAGTGGCGCTTCATCAAGATGCACCTGATTAGCCACTACATTGACTCGATCCGTCGTGCTGGCTTGCCAGAGCACTACTCTACGCAGATGTTTGAGCACCTGCACATCGAGTACATCAAGAACCCTTACAGAGCATCGAACCGGCGCACGGCCACTGCACAGATCATGAATAGTGAGGTGATGCGTCTGCGCCTGGACTCCATTGCACCAGTTCTCGGCAAGCGTAAAGCCTACGACACGTGCATGGTTGAGGTGAGTCCTACTGTATTCATAGTTGACTTGGTCGTACACCTTCCACCTCGTAGATATACCACTCATTCCTATTATACACGATCATGCCTGCAGGCTCAACGGACGGGGAAAAGGGCGATGACTCGAGAGAGTTGGAGGCTGCTGGTCCCTGCCAACCGGCTAGTGGCACCCTTCGTGGTGCCGTTGACACCTGATGCTGACCGAGATAGCGAGTTCTTGACGGCGTTATCTGCGGACCTTCCCTTCCTACGCGGTGCTTTGAATGAGGCACCTGCATGCTCGGGAAGTAGCATCGACACCATCCACGTAAGATGATCCCTTGAACCTACCACGTCATCCCCCTCCTCTCTCTTTCCCCCTTTTGTTGCTATACAAAATGGTGGCATCTCATCCCTCTTTCACCACTCTTCCCTCTCTCTCTGACATACTCATTATCCCGTCCTTCCCCTGCACCATAACTACACCCACAGATCCACAACGGGCTGGCCATGCCAGCTGCAATTGATGCGGCATTTAGCCGCCTACCTCATCACGTTCGTGCTGCGCCGATGTTCTATGGTCGGCCATGGTTCTCCAACATCGCAGTTGTTGGGGAGGGTGACGATGCAGAGCCTCTCAAAGGGTATGCTAAGTTGCTGATACTGTTTGAGGTCCGCATTGGGAGATTGCTGGTGCCATATGCTTTCATAAAGTACTATGACTCAGCCCTCTCCAAAGACATAGCTACTAAGTGCACAACTCTCACTTGGGCTGACTCGTCTCAACGCTATAGTGTGATTGCAGTAACCAGTATCCTACGGGCGGTAGAGCTGGTCCGCACTGCGCCATGCGAGGACGTGTGGCTAGTTAATAAGTTCATGTTCTAAACTAGTAACCCGTAGGATAATAATGGATATTCCATTTTGTCACTTCAAACCATAGTGATTGACCTGTTGAAACTTAATGCAATACACGCATAGACAATGTCGTATCGCTTTGCGTACAACACAATTCTACAATTTAAACAAGTCGTCACGTTTGCTGCATGATCACAACCAACAAATCCTTAAGGGCCTAGTAAGGGCTTCATCAAGAAAGAAAGCATGAAAGTGCAAAACGGGGGCCTGTATTGTAATGTAGTCGTTCGTTTCACTATTGATCGTATTAGGAAAATTGTTGTTTGTAATGGATATATTTGTGACATGCTGAGGTGGCACGCGACAACAAAGGAACCACCATGGTGGGTGGATGAGATTGACTGCCAGACGCGACGCGCAGCACATAGCTGCTCGCGTGCGATAGGGAATGCATGTGAGTTGGACTGTGGGCCCAGATTCCTAATTCTACCAGTTCGCGCCATGGGCCCGTGACCCTTTTTGTTTTTTACTACGCATTCATTCATCATTTTCCTGTGGTTAGGTAATCTCTAGTTACGCGTGAAATAATTTTTGTTTCCGAAAAAAATCATCCCCATATGAACGAAATGCGTGAAACATGCAAAACTGCGGAAATACGGGCGGGGATGCATTACTACCTCAATTTCCGACAGCGAAACAGTAAAATACCGTGGCTGCCAAAACGAAACCATGTAAACACGTTGACGCGCGACGCAGCGCCACGACGCAGTCTTTCCGCATAGGACGGAATCGTCCAATCACCGCCAATGTAATCTGCCAGCTGGAACAGGTGAGGCATCTGCGTGGCAAACCTCGTGAGAAAAAAATAGTCATTCACCAACCATAAACAGCCGCATCTATCGTCTGCGACTCTTGTCAGTCGCAAACGCGTCGTTATGTCTGGTGTGGTTGGTACAGCCTGTGGCGGGAAACGATTGTTGGCACCGGACGACCAAACGGGTCTGGTTACACTCGGGCGAGATGGTGCAGTGCTGGACGACACGGCGATCGAAAGCGACTCCGACGAACCTGTCGCGAAGTTCCAGGAGCTCGTCGAGTGGATGCAAGCCATGAAGGCACAGGGCATCCTGCCTGCCGAGTTGTTGCGTAAGAAAGCCAAAAAGGGCAGCATGGCAGAGACGAGTAACAACGGTGGAACAGCTATTCCTACCCCTGCTCCGCCAGTCACTGCGGCTGCTACTCTTCCTTCCGTAACAGAAATTTTACCCTCGGCCCTTAATCTGACTGGGCCGTTAGAAGACGCAGCAGAAGGCGCCACGGAGGCCGTGGAGCATCTTAACGCTCACGGCCTCCCAGTTATCTCTCGGGCTCGCACAGGTATGAACCCGTTAGTCTTCTCCCTTTCCTGTTATTTAACTAAGGTTCGTATTTGGCGAGTATAGTTTCACGCTCAACCGCAACTCAACATGCATTTATTGTCATGTTTGTTCCTCGCCATGCCTGCCGATGTCTAATCCCGCACCTTGCACTTGTTTTTTTCTTCCACAAACAGAAGTTGCTTCGGTGAGAACACAAGCAGAGCTTCGTCTTCGTGCTGAGAATGAAGACCTGCAATCCACGCTCAAGCTGACACAAGAGCGCGCACTCGACCTCCAAATCGCCCTGGACGATAAGGAGGCTGCATACGTAGCGCTCAATCTGCGCTACGACGAGTTGTCCGCTCTGGTCGTTGCACTTCGGCAGCAAATCATCAACAACGGCGAGGAGCAAAGGCAAACCCTGAACTTGGCGCTGATCCCGTCTTTCGACTTGCAGCAGTTACCACGTGGCCAGAACGGCAGCATCTTGGTCCCTACAACACTTGAACAAGACCATTTGTTTTCGGTGAGTTTGTTCGCGGTTCTGTTTTGAGATAGGATATACTTCCTATAATTGTTTGATAATGTTTAAGCAATCGCATCTCCCTGTCTTTCTTTTTATTAACACTGTCACCCGGAATGCCCTGACTGCAGAAAAAGGCGCTCGAGGCTTTCACGTTCATGACGACCGCCGCGCTTGCGTGGAGGATGAAGTTCTACCCTCTGTGGCCCGAGCTGAGAGAAATGATGGCAGAGAAGTACGCGGAAGCTGGCGTGGGGAAGGACATATTCTACTATGTCATCTGCATGTTCCTTGGAAAGGAAAACCTGGCCATGCGCAAGGCGTCAGAGCGGCGGAGCAATTACAACGGCGACATCAAGACTTACGGGCGCGGCCCGGGCGGGTGCGTCCCGGAGAGTAAATGGAAGGAGTTGGCGGACGAAGGAGTGGCGCCGCAGTGCAGCAGGTCCCCTTCGGAGTGGACCCTGTTCTACCTTCATGGTACGTGTGTCGTCGTCTGTTTGTTAAGGCCTCTGCTAATGCCATGGTTTTGTATTTTGCAGCAACGTGTATTGTTTGTAACCATCATTTCCTGTTTGTTTTAACAGCACGCTTTGGTTCCAACTGGCACTTCAACGCTGCAACGTGTAGGCCGTTTGCCAATCGGGCATTCGAACTCGTCCTGCTGCGCGGTTTTGGGAGCAAGAAGGCGACAACGATCATGGTGAAGTTCCCTGCAGTTGGCTACGCCTTGAATGTGGTGAGTGAGTCGCTATTCCAGGGGAGGGTTTAAGGTCATAACCGCCAGTCCGTGAAGACTCATTTTGGTTGCTTTTCTTGATGCAGGTGGAATGGCCTCTGGCAAATGCCAGAGGGCGAGTGAACCCTGCACTCGACGGTTCCGAGACCGTGAACCAGCAGAATGTCGAGGTGAAGATCGGGCACCTGGTCACCTGGATTAGGGAGACATACGAGAACGGAGACACCGCGATCTGGGACCCGGTTGCTTCTGCTGGCTTCAGGATGTCCCCCAACGTGAAGCTATTGATTGAGGGTTATGAGTCTCAGGTGTTCCCTGCAGGATTACCCTAGGAAATTGGATGCTAAGAATATTTTATTTAGCATGAGGTTGGAGTGGTTATTACATGACTGCTAGGGTTACAATGCTAATCTTCAATGATAATACATCTCTGAAATAACGTGTTGTCAAATGCTCTGGAGCCGTGTACTTATTATGAACAATTGTAGCCATTGAATCAATTTATCAAAAACACACTATCTAATATTTTTAAAGATTCTGGATGTTGAATACAGTACAGTCACTGTACCACAATGTTATCATATATAAACCCGACTACAATCACAGGGCATGCGAACAGTAACGGAATGTTACTTCGATTCTAGCTCTTATTAACAATTCGTTAGACAAAGTAACCCCTTCGTCATCGACTCGCCAGAGCGACTTGGATAGACAAAGGTGCACTCTAAATCGCCACACAGCGATACAAACGACCCCTACTGATTACACGTGTACGCAGTCACGATGATCCACGCCAACTCCCGCTCATATTCAGTGTTGACTGCGATTGACAACACGGCTGCAACCGAGTTCGAACGTGCTGAACCAGACTCTACAGTGACGCGTGTAATCAGACGCAATCCCCTGATCCACAGTAGGTACGATCCACAGTCTATTTGGGAACAACCCATCTACTATCTACGAGGTGGACGGGAAACTGAAGGAAAGGCATCACAATTAACCCAAACTTCCCCAACCCACCCCAACACACTCCTCGGTTTTTTCCGATGTCGTCGCGAGCGTTTCTCATCCTCGCGCTCGCTATCCGTCGTCGCCCACGCTCCCCCTTGTCGCGCTCGCTCCCCCACGGCAGCTGTATGGAGTGTAATAAGGAAGGAGACAGAGTGGACAGGAAGGGATGAGAAATGGAGGGCGGAAATATATGGGAGGAAGAAGGCTGGAAGAGATGCAGGAGGGTGGGGCGAAATGGGAGCGGGATAGCGGGAAGGAAGGAGATAGGCCGGGGGGAACTGCGGGCGACGGAGGGAACTGCGGGCGACGGAGGGAATAGCGGGCAACTGGGGAGGGGGAACGACCGCGAAGGGGATGGGGGGCGAGGGTGATGGAAGATAGGTGGTGAGGGAAGGGGAGAGGGAGGTGGAAATGGAAGGGCGCGTTTATGGGAAGAGTGAGAGAAAGGCTGGGAGAGAAGGAAAGAGAGAGGCGGGGAGGGATGTGAGGGGGGGGAGGCAGGAGAATCACAGGGGGTAGGCAAATTAGTGGTTGGAGAAAGGAGTGTGGGGTGAAACAGGTTGGTGGGGAGGATGAGTGTGTTTGGGGATATGCGGTCGGTATGTGGGGGCAATGAGGGGAGGCGACGACGAGCAGGGAAAGCCAATGCGACGAGGGGGAGCGAGGGAGCCATATGCCCTGCTTCCCCCCCTCATATGCCCTGCTTCCCCTCATCCCCTTCCCTGCTACCCCCCATCCCCTTCCCTGCTACCCCCCATCCCCTTCGCACCCTCACATTCCACCCATCTGTCCTCCCCATTCCTGCCCTTCCATCCCTGCCCCGCCCTCCCCATGCCCTCCCTTCCATCCCTGCCCTTCCTTTCCTCATGCCTTCTCCTGGCTTCCCTTCGCTTCCATGCATGTGCCCAATACATCACTGTCTCCCAATACATCACTGTCTCCCAATACATCACTGTCTCCCAATACATCACTGTCTCCCAATACATCACTGTCTCCCAATACATCACTGTCTCCCAATACATCACTGTCTCCCAATACATCACTGTCTCCCAATACATCACTGTCTCCCAATACATCACTGTCTCCCAATACATCACTGTCTCCCAATACATCACTGTCTCCCAATACATCACTGTCTCCCAATACATCACTGTCTCCCAATACATCACTGTCTCCCAATACATCACTGTCTCCCAATACATCACTGTCTCCCAATACATCACTGTCTCCCAATGCATGCCTTCACCATGTGCACTTGCTTGTATTCCCTTGTCGTTGTTCCCTTCCACCTCACTACATCTCCCCCATGTTCCTTCACACAGGTACCCCTTTCTGCCTACTCCTTGTCCCTGCTTCCCCCCATCCCCTTCCCTGCTTCCCCCCATCCCCTTCCCTGCTTCCCCCCATCCCCTTCCCTGCTTACCCCCATCCCCTTCCCTGCTTCCCCCCATCCCGTTCCCTGCTTCCCCCCATCCCCTTCCCTGCTTCCCCCAATCCCCTTCCCTGCTTCCCCCCATCCCCTTCCCTGCTTCCCCCCATTCCCTTCTCTGCTTCCCCCCATCCCCTTCCCTACTTCCCCCCATTCCCTACCCTGTTTCCCCATGTCCCCTTCTCTGCTTCCCCCCATCCCCTTCTCTGCTTCCCCCCATCCCGTTCCCTGCTTCCCCCAGTCCCCTTCCCTTGCTTCCCCCCATCCCGTTCCCTGCTTCCCCCCATCCCGTTCCCTGCTTCCCCCAATCCCCCTCCCCTGCTTCCCCCAATCCCCTTCTCTGCTTCCCCCCATCCCCTTCCCTGCTTCCCCCCATTCCCTACCCTGTTTCCCCGTATCCCCTTCCCTGCTTCCCCCCATCCCCTTCTCTGCTTCCCCCCATCCCGTTCCCTGCTTCCCCCAATCCCCTTCCCTTGCTTCCCCCCATCCCGTTCCCTGCTTCCCCCCATCCCCTTCTCTGCTTCCCCCCATCCCCTTCTCTGCTTCCCCCCATCCGCGCGCAGGTGTGACAGAAGGTGCATGTGGCGTGGAGCATGTTGGAGGAGCGGTTTGATCACTGATAATGCCATTCGCTGGCAATTCAACTTCCTGCCAAGCCTAGGGGAGTGCCAACTTACGCCCCGTCGTAAGAGACGGTGCATCTGAAGGTTTTTGGTCAAGACGGTGCATCCCCTGCAATGCTTCCCCCCATCCCCTTCCCTACTCCCCCACATTCCTTCCCTCACTCACTCATTCCTTCCCACCCTCACTCATTTTTCCCCACCCTCTCTCATTTCTCCCCATCCTCTCTCATTTCTCCCCACCCTCTCTCATTTCTCCCCACCCTCTCTCATTTCTCCCCACCCCCTCTCATTTCTCCCCACCCTCTCTCATTCGTTCCCATCCTTTCTCATGCAACTCACCCCCCACCTTCCTCATAACATATTACCTGCCTTCTCCCCCAGACTCCACCCACCTGCCCTCCCCATCCCTGCCTTTCCCTCCCTGCCCTGTCCTTCCCCTTCCCCATCCCTTCCTTTTCATGCCCTCCCCTTCCCCCTCACTCCTCACCAGCTGCCCTGTTGTTCCCGTGCGTGTGCACCCATCTATTTCCCCATACATGCTTTCATCATTCCCCATGTCCCCTTCCCGTTACTACCCCATGTCCCCCTCCCTGCTTCCCCATGTCCCCTTCCCTGCTTCCCCCCATCCCCTTCCCTGCTTCCACAACTCCCCTTCCCCGCCTCCCCCCGTCCCCTTCCCTGCTTCCCCGTGTCCCTTTCCTTGCTTCCCCCCATCCCCTTCCCTTCTGGTGCCCCATCCCTTTACATGCTTCCCCCCATCCTCTTCCCTTCCCCCCATCCCCTTCCCTGCTTCCCCATGTCCCCTTCCTTGCTTCCCCCCATCCCCTTCCCAACTTCCCCGTGTTCCCTTCCCTGCTTCCCCATGTCCCGTTCCCTGCTTCCCCCCATCCCCTTCCCTGCTTCCCCATGTCCCTTTCCCTGCTTCCCCCCATCCCCTCCCCTGCTTCCCCGTGCTCCCTTCCACGGCACTCACACGCACCACTTGTCTGCTCTTCATATTCTCCCTCAGTTTCCTCCTCACATGTGTTGCGGAACCCTGGTCTGCACTTTGCCTGACTGCATGTCTGCCTGCGTTTGATCTGTGTCTGTGTCTTTCTGCCTCCGTGCGTGCCTGCGTGTGTGCATGCCTGCGTGCGCTCATGCGTGATAGCCGACACTGTGCAGGCAATTGTGCTGAATCTGGATCATGGGGCAAAGGCATTTGAATCGAGTAGAGCTGTGTGGTGTGGTCAGTGCGGAGTGGCATGGGAGGAAGGTGCAAGAAGGCAAGCACAGAGTGAAGAGGCCGCGGCATGATATGGAGATTGGCAGCAGGGATCGACTAGTGGGTCATGCTTTGTTTGGTGCCAGTGGTTTATAGGCTGAATTGGGTTCACCTGTTGATGATACTGTGTACAAGGGGTGTACTGTGTATGCCCTATCGCAATCTTGACCCGAGCTCCAACACGTAAAAAGACATGAAGTTAGCTTGTGCCTAGCTGCGATATTCCCTACCAAACATGCACAACACAGCCAATGTCAAGGATACTAGTATCCAAAAACGGTTTCTCGGTACAAGGGTGTGTCATACATGGTGAAAACACATCTCGCCAAAGAATGTTTAGGTTGGTACCGGTACGTAGCACTTCGAATCCGTGAAGCACACTTGCCGTTATAGAACCGGCCACATCATAGTCAGCTGCTTTGAATGAACTGCAAGTTCACCAAGTATGACACGCCCTTAGAAAAACGACTTGCCATGCCAATAAACTACGGTAAAGCCGAATTCCCCAAGATACATTGTGAGATTTATGTGGAGCTTCACTCAAGACGGTTTCGCCAAATATGTCCAGGTAAGCCCAGCAGAGAGGAGTGGCAAAGAGTGGTGGCGTCGGGCACATGAAAGGAGGGATAGAGGGAAAATTTCGAAGGGCTCTCCTTGCTGGAGCTTTGCAATGGCTGATTTGCGGAGGGGGGAGGGGGGGGATGGGGGGGTCGTGGGGGAGTGGGGGGAGTGGGGTGGGGGGCAGAGGAGAAGAAGATGGTAAAGGGAGCTGAGAACAAGGAGGAGGAGCAGCAGGTTGACAAGCTACCTCTCATTGCATACTCTGTGGAATGGCTGTCAAAATGTGGGGAGTGGGGAGCGGTGGAGAAGGGGGGAAAAAAAGGGAGAGAGGGGAGGTGGGAAAGAGTCAAGGTGATTGTCTTTGAGATGATTTCTAATAGGAATCATGGGAAGGATGGGAGAGTTGTCGGTGGAGCTAGGAGTGAGAAGAAGTGGAGAAAAATGGGGAGATGGCATAGGATATCCTGCACTAGTGCATTAGACAAATGCACCATCGGTCAACTGCAATACACCAGAGTCACCTGCACCGTACCAGGTGTCATTTGCCACAAGGCGGCAGACGTCCCAGGGGGCCGAGGCAAACCACCAGGGAAAGCCGCCCTGCCACCTCCATATCCCTCGGCAAGTACGGCACCAGCGGCACTCCCTGCACTGGCGGGACCAATTTTAGGCGCTGACATCGGATGTATCGCAGGGATGGGGGATGGGGAGACAGTGCTTCTGAAGGTTTTTGGTAAAGAGGAGGGAGTTGAGGGAGACAGGGAAGTGTGGAGGGGAGATGGGGGGATAAATCTGAAGGCCCACTAGTGTTGGTGTTTGAGGATAACTAATAACACGAGTAGGGTTCATTATTAACCTAGGGCAAGCTCATGAGTGCCGTATATATCGGAAGCGATGCGGCGTGGCGGCCAACGTGATAATGTTGGACCATTTTGAACCCCATAGGTGTGTCGTGGATGTTTTCCGAGGATAGTTGGTGACGTCACCTATAACATTAGCACAAACAGAAATTGTCGGTCCAATTGACTTGTAACATTAGTTGATGAGATAGGGTGTGATATGTGGCAAATGTGCAACTAGTCTCGCCTAGAAGTCTGCGCGCAGCCTTATGCGTCGATGACCGATCGCGACCCCTCCCACTACGTCGCACAGGTGTAGCGGGCTGCTGTACAGATGGGTGGCCCCCTCCATCAGATATGTCAGCGGACTGCTGTTCCGATCATTGGCCCCTTGATGCATCTTCAATAATATCGTCATCGACACCTTCCCCTAACGACCGTTGCCACTCAGCCATGATCCGATCAACCCACGACCAATCCATGGGTCCGAGTGTTCGATCCTTGTTGCCCCGACGCACCCGCGTCGCTTGCCGCACTCGTGTGTGATAGGAAGTGACCAATCTATCCATCGAGTTATTCCAGTGAAAGACCGCGAGAGCCACCGGCGGCGCAAGACTATCCTGGAACCGAATACGCTTAGGGGCGTATTTGAGGATCAGAGAATGGAATGACTCATTGACAGAGCTGTTGGCACCGTGAACAAAGACTTCACCTTTTCCGGGGATAACCGTTTCTCGAACCAAGCAAGTACCGCCTTGTGTGTTTCTGACCCAGGCTCGTAAAGAGCACATTCCATCCCCCAGTTCTCAGTAACACACCTAGGCGGGACACCACCAGACATTCCTCACCCGGAATGGTCACCCACACTTGGTGATGACGTTGAGCGCCCTCGCTTTCCATAGCCAACCACAGCTCCTCAATACAACTTGCCTTGTCCAGGACTACCGGCACCCGCACAGCATCCTGAAGCTCTTTGCAGAAAAGCTTGTACAACGTTTTCTTCACGTGCCACCAATCCACCTGATGGTTCAGTTTCCGCTCTGTCGCAGCACCTCTGAATGTCGTTCCTTGGTCCGAAATGATTCCTCCCCCTTCAAATCCCAACATCGCCAGCTCATCAACTCCTTTGTCGAACGCAACCCGCTCCAATCGCACAGATGACGTATCATCAACCCCCTTCCTTGTTGTCGCACAGTACAATAACTTCTGCGTAACAGCATCCATGAATGATACGGTACACCATTCGCCCTCTCGGACATGTGACCACCGACCGTCTACCGTTACCATTCCCCGGAAATGTCTCGTTTCTTCATCTCTTCTCGTACCGCTGCCATGGATTTCTCCGCCTCCCTAAGAATCGTGTTCCACAACCCATTATCACCCCCTAGATACTTATAAAAAGTGCCTTTTCCGGGACATGGGATACCGAAATTGCAGCTAAACTCCCACATCTGTTGATAATCCATCCCAGCAAGCACAAATGCTCCTACGAATTTGGAATGGAGCATAGGCACGCGTGCCCCGACACCCGCTCTTCTTTTCTCAACGGTTTGATTGGTGCATGACCAGAATTCCACACCATGGGAGCACGCATCACATCTCCAAAACGTGCCCACTGATGCCCAAGAATATTTCCATGACCTCAAAGACATGGCTCCACCGCATGTCTGTTGATGCGAGTACACCAACCGACATCCCTTGAAGAATCCAACGAGAGTACGCGGTTCGACGAGACATACCCGTTGTTCAGAAATCTCATTGACATTTGGTGAGGCAGGCCAGTGCCTAGGGACTGTTGCATGCGCGATCGGGCGCGGTTGCATGCGACGTGACGAGAGGTAGTGCACATATCAAAAGAAAAACAAAAGCATAAGAGGTTGGATGTCAAATCCTGTGTTGGGCTGATTTGCATGGAATGTTTCATGCGTCAGCCACATCATCAAACATGGTAGATGCTTACAGGTCCTCAGGCGTGCGTGTTGTTGCCGTTGGCGTCGGTGCTGGCAGCGGTGTGTTGTCGGGGGTAGACTGTATGCACTCCCGATCGAGAGCTCGACAGTCGGTGCAGTCCTGCGCCATTAGATTAGGTGAATCCATAACAGCATCCACCACATCACGGTCTGCTAACTCGGAGCCGGCCCCCAGCCCGAGACTACCTGTATTATATCGAGAGCGATGGGATAAGCTACAACTTGTTGAGTGGAATAGGAAGGACCGAAGGAGCACAGTGCGTGGATATCTTTCTAATGGTGGATCTTTCAAATGCAAGCAGCTTATTACCTCCCTGGCGCAGGAGGGAAAATGCCTTTCCACGCCTCGCTCCACCCCAAGATAGGCCCGTCACAGGTTTAGGTCTCCCGCGATGATCGAGCTTCATAATCGGAAAGGAAAACTTGACGCTAGGCAGCACTCGATTCGGTCGTCCTAGTAGATCTGTGATCTTCTCGTAGCCTCCGTGAACGCGCCCTGTGAAAATGCGACTATACTCTTGACGGTGCATCTCGACCATGGCGCCGGTTTGCGTGCCCTCTGACTCGGGATCTGGGTGTCATTTGGGTTCACATATGAAGGTGCACACAGTACTCATATTCACTGAATTGAACTATGCAACTGATATGTGTTGACACAAAACCATTCTTCAACTTACCTACAGCTAGTCTAGCTGTAATGAGTCAAAGCGTCGCATCTGGTGCTGCCTCTGCCAAGAAATGAATAACGTCGTCGGGTGTCGCCATAGCCTCGCTAGTGAACAAAGCGGACAATCCCACACGTAGCACGTACAACAGAGGCCGCATATGCTTTGATATGTTCGCACTGCCCTTCGTGGCATCCTTGCATGATTGCGCTGCTGGATGTACACTTGAACTACTGGATTGGGCATACCGGGAAAACTACATAAGTAAGAGGGCATGCACGCACATGATGGGTAAGACAGATGCCCATGTGGGATGATGGGCAGGCGGGCATAATTATTGATGACGTGCATCTAGCTGCCCAACAGTGAGGGATATATGACACATGAAGTGATAAGGCAGTTGGCCCAACTGCTGCGGATAATGGGTCACTTGATATGAGTGGCTAACAAACAAGCGCAGTGCAAAGGTGGCAGAGCCAAGAACGAAGCTTTGTCGCCAAATCGGGGAAGGCGAGATCAAAACTTACCTGCCAAGGTAGCGGTGCGCTGAGCTGTTGTGCCTGAAGATAGGTGAGAAATCAGGGTGAGCTGTATGACAACTGACCTGCCAAGGCTGCGGCGCGATGAGCCTCCTGCCCTTGTGGCCGTTTAGATGGATGGATGTCTTCTAAACCCAGCAGTGCAATGGCTGCAGCAACACGTCCTGTCAACAAGCTGGAACATGGGCGGCGAAATGTAAGACAAGTGAAATGCAAAGGCAGCAACACCAGGCGCTGCTGTGCCTGGGGCGCCAGCGAGGCATGCGAACCTGCACAGCATCCAAGACCTTGGCTAACGGGGACAAGTGGTGATGTGCCCCTAGTATTAGGCAGGAGGTTTGAGTTACAACTACCATGCAAATGACTCAGCGCCTCGCACTGCTGAGCATGAAAGAACATGTCACTACAAACACAGCGGCACCACGTGCTGCTGTGCCTTCAACCCCAGACAGGGAGGG